GCATGTATTTCGTGACCGTCTATGCTTACTTCGGGCTGATGATCGTCGCCAATAACCATAACGGCACACTTGTGCCATGAAAGGGTGAGGCGCCATGTGCAGCACCAGTAGATTTGTAAAATATGTGGTCCGTGCATTAACATTCAGCTTATAATCCTCTTGGCTTGGGCCACTTCCTTAAGTCATTCATTGACTTGAATCGTCTGAGAACGACATAATTGAGAACTTTGGGTCGGGAAAATGGAAAAGCCCCTTGCCCGAATTTCTTACGGAAATCGTGGTTAAAGATTTGATAATTAATTAAGGCGTAGGTATTGCGTGTTTAATATGTGGTGAATGCATAATAGAAAATAAATTAAAGCCGCTTGTAATTGTTTTACAGAACAAAATATATATGTGAAAAGCAACAGGAAAGAATAAAAGCAGTCGGCATATTTGCCAGCAAAGGGTGACTATAGACCAATAAGAATGATAAGTAGATAGGTGGACATTCTACCTACTGTAAAGTTACAAATTAGTGGTTATCATCAATACCAACCCTCGCGCGGTCCCTATATGCATCGCTACCCAACAAGTCCATAAGACTTATTTCGTGGTAGTTCTCGCACCTAGCCTTATATTCCTTCTGGACGGCAGATACGATTATGTCTGGGCTCAAATCATCATAAACGAGCTCATTTCTCTACGAATAATCACCGAAATCACTGAATGTCTGCAAAAGATAAGCAGGGCTCAATGGGAATACTGTCACCTCCGGAGGCCTTGTTGATGTGCAGCCATTGTATTGAATCGGCAAATTATTTCTCGAAAGGGCAATAACATGACACTGCGTAGGTTCGAGAGAAATAAAACTCCGCTGCAGATGAAAGCGAAGATGTAATGGGCCTCTGACCCTTCTCTCCCCTCCCTTCCCCTTCCAAATTCTCCATCAAATCTTTACAGCCATCTTTTATAACCTCCCGCCCTATATTTATATGGCTTACTTTTACAAAAAAGCGCACATTATTGAACGCATGTTTTAACTTGTACTCCGTTCCCATACAAATGTACTGGACCGACGATAAATTATCGAATGCACGCATATGCTCACCGACTGGTCTCCTGAATACGTTTATGAGAATTTTTTACAATCTCGCTTACAATCTCGTCTGTGTTGTGATTTCCAAGTTCTGCGAGAACAAGTCGCCTAGCACGTGGTATTTAGAGTGAAGCTGGGAGATGGACGGTCAGGCGTGTGCGAACGAAGACGTGGCCAGACTCATCGCAGCAATCTACTTTCGTGAATTTAGCTATGGAGCCTCAACCTCACTAAAATGCAGAGACGCGACTATTCAGACGGCCATCGTTCGCATAATAGGTCAGCAAGAAAACTTCCCAGTGCTGAAAACACGTGTTGCTGACAATATTCAACACATCTCTCTGGATGTAGAAGTTCTCCGATCATATTACCCTTCTTATTTTTTCCAGCTCTAAGAGCTTCCAAGTGTGCATTGCTTGAACTTTCACGTAGAAGGATAAATCACTTTGGTTAGTTGATTGAACTCCGGCGGACCATATAGATTTTTATGAGACTTGATTTCTGCTGTATTCGGTATTCTTCAAAACTTTATAATGATCAACATGATACAGAAGCTACATTTCGTGGAAGCTTGGGTGTTCAGACATTGCTACGCCTTTATCTTCCGACGTTACCAGGACGGCCTGCTTAAACTAACATAAGAAGAGGTCATAATGACAGCAACTGTATGCTCTCGGAGGTTCCTATAAGAGGACGTCAATTCACCCAGAGGCTAAACGGCCGGATTTAAGAGGGAGAACCAAGAATCTACTATATAGGGCCGTGTTTGCATTGCCAGCGGGACTTCATTTTACTGGGCTGTAACGTAAGCGGGTGAAGAGAATAAGTCTGCAACTGGCCTCTCTATAATGTCCGGTCAGCTGGACGATGTACGTAGTTTTCTTTTTAATTGTTATTCGGTTTTAAGATTCGTCGCAAACGGCTTCAGAGGCTTACAGAAAATGAAAGTGGAACGGAGGAAGACAAAGTGCCAGAGGCTAAATCGGCTGCCGTATAATTTATTTCTTGTTTTTTTTAACTTGCAATTTTCAATCTAGATTGCAGGTGCAGGTGAATACAGTGTGCCATCGGTTCGAGAACTTGCCAAGGAGTGCTTCACTTCACCAGTAACTCCAATGGATATATATATATATTTCTGTTTAGGTTGCGGAAGCCTCAGTTTTAAATACCGTGGAGGTCATGGACAATGAAAGTTCTGACCCTGCGGAAAATCCTCCTAATTCTACTCAGCCTGCCAGCTTTCTTGGTGACGTGTTAAAGATTCTCTCAGTGCATTTAGCGGATTGTGGTTCCAATCCGTCTCAGGATCCCCTTTGTCTGACGACG